CATCAAAACGCTGCTGTGGTTGGTCAAATCTTGGGGGGGCATCAAAACGCTGCTGTGGTTGGTCAAATCTTGGGGGGGCATCAAAACGCTGCTGAGGTTTGTCGAACCTTGGGGCACCATCAAAACCTGGTGGTGGCTGGTCAAATCTGCTGACCCTGGGACCAGCCAGAAAGCAAAATATGTCACAATTGAACAAAACAGTTGCTTTTAAAATGCTAGTTCTTTATCATGTTTTTTTTTTATTAGCACCGTCTCAGCCCTACTCAACTCTACTTTTGGTTGCCATGATTTGGTTTAGGTTTATTTCCATTACAAATAGGGTCCAAGTGGTAGGACTGGCTGAACGGCCCGTGACATCAATTGTATGCGGCTTAAGGACAAGACTTCAATGAAGGACATTTAGGCAATTACATGCTGTATGAATCTCAGTGTTGGACTGGGTGTTTACTCAAACATTAGGCATTTATAATCTTGATGATCACAGAAATAATTAAATTGGATGTTTGTTGTAGGCAAATTTTTTAAATATACAGAGCTCACGTAAAGAAGCCACTGCCATGACTCGAGTCACCCAGGCCAGTTAGCGGCTAGCTGTCGGTAGTAAGTCGAGCTGAGCTAAGAAGGTACGAGTGGGAAAACCCCTTATTGTTGTAAAAAACAATTTAAGCTTACCGTGGCCCTCTAACACTGTTGAAGCCTGGCGGTGGCCCAGTCTGAGGAGCCAGGGGCCTGGCTGCTACACCAGAGGGGGCACTTCCTTGTACAGGGGTTCCAGCAGGTGATTCTGAATGTGTTCCAAAAATGGTGGTCTGCTGAGTTGGAGGATTAGGACCACCAGCAAGTGGAGGTGGCGGGACATTTGGGTTTACTGTATGCTGTTGAATTTGCATGTTTTGCCCAGGGTACGGTCCAAACTGTCCTACAACAGCATTATTAAACTGGTTTGAGGCAAAGGGCACCATGGCAGTAAGAGTGGCCACCCTCTCTTGAAGGTGAGCATTAGTGGCATTCATCTGCTCTTGCCACTGTTTCCATTGGTGTTCATAATCTTGCAGTTGATCTTTATGGGGGTAGGTCTGGAACTGTTCATACCACAAAGAAAAGGAGCGATCCCAGTTTTGGAATAAAGGGGTGAATTGCTTCTGTTGCAATTCATAGTGCCTGAGCTGCATTTCAGCAGACATTGACTGCAAATAAAAGGACATCAAGATAATGATTAATTGAATATATGCACACATCTCACTAAGGCAATACAGGTCAAGAGATCTGTTGGGAATTACATACCTGTAGGTTTGGAGGTTGATGTATCAGCTTTTGGTATTGTTCCAGAATCTGCTGAAGCTTTTCATGTTGTTGCATGAGAGCCTGGTATTGTAAACCTGCTCTCTGTTGTTGTACATGCTGCCACTGTGCTGCTGCTGCTTGTAATTGCTGGAGACGGGCAGCTTCCTCTGGGTCTTTAGTGACTTCGGTCTTTAAATCAAAATGTTGAAAGATTGAGAAAGGGCATTATGTTTTGTCATTGTTTCACTGCTGCACAGTGAAACAACACATTAAATTTACTCAAGATGTAATTCTTATAAAATGTTATCATTAATATTGCAGTCTTAGTGGTTAAAGATAATATCTGAATTCATTCCTCATTTGAAAATATACCATTCAGGTTTTATTTTAAAAGTTGTTTTACTGTAAAGCCCTACCACATATGTTGGGTTATATTCCCAACAAATCTTACATTTAGAGGACACTTACCTTCTGTTCCCCAGTTTGAGGCAATGGAGGTGGTTCTTCTTTCGGAGGCGGTGGAGGTGGGGTGCTTTTTGGTGGTTCTAAGGGTGGTGGAGGAGGAACTGTTTGACTTGTTAGGGAATGTACTGGCACACAGGTATCACTCTCTTTCTGATTCTGTTTGGCCCGCTCCTGCCTTAATTTCTGTAGGTTCTGAAGATGTTGTTTGTACCAAAGCTGCTGCTGCTCCTGGTGAATACAATCACAACATCATCCCGTTAACCACACAGGGTTACACACAACCTTAAAATTTGAAGAGGAATATGTTTTGTCACTGCTATAATAAATAAACATTATTTTACCTGATCAAATTTTAGACAATTATGTATCATCTTTCTTTTTGCATTTCATGTGTATATTGAATTTAAGTTTCCATTTTTTGAAGAGAAAATAAGATAAATGAACAAGAACATTTCAGTAGGATACAACCTATCCTCTATTGATGATAATCTGAGACACAAATAAAAAATTTGACATCTGCCAAATAAAGCTTGTGTGATATGGCTACTTTTGGACACGCTCAGGCTAAATCTCCTTAAATCTTTAATATCAGTCTTACAACAGTTTTGTTACCAAAACAAACAAACAATTCACCTAGTTTGACTATAAAAACTAAAACATTGCACGACATGTCTTGAAGGGATTTTGCCAAAAAAACCTTTGTGTGCATTATTTCTGCTGCCTGTTGTACTCCAGTTGTAGTAGTTAGACCTCATCAACCATCCTTACATGAAAACAATCTCATGCTGGGTTGCAAGTAGAACAAAGGATGCAAACATATTCTTTAAAAAGATGCACCCATCACATAAACCTATGAGGAAATGAAACAGTACCTGTAAATGCAATGAATTGTTTTCTGTCGACGAGTCCTTGATGGTCTCTCTGGCACTGGGGACACCAATATTGTCTGTCGGCTTTGGTACCTGAGACTCTGGAAGGGGAGGGACCGCTTGAGGCTCGATGGGGTGCGATGGAGGCCGTTTTGGGGCTGGTGGGACTCTCCCCGTTTGAGCAGTAGTCTCCTCTGGTTTGTAGTGTGACTGAGCACCATCACCGCTGTCTGCATGTCCTGCTCCTCCTGAATTCCACGATGGCCCCATGTACCCAGCCGAGTGTCCACCTCCGTAGGTAGGCGCGGTGTTCCCATGATGTAAGACAGACTGGAGCTGTTTCTGGTGCAGCATCTGCAGCTGCTGCATCTGCTGGAGGTGCTGCTCCTGAAGACTGGAGAACAGTGAGCCGCCAGACGAGGCCTCAAAACCACCATACCCAGACGCCGGGTTGGCGTGGCTGCCCATTGAGGGCTTACGAGGCCCTGAACTTCCATAGTTTTGCGCCGGCGGTGCACCATAATTCCCCCAGGAGGGAAACATAGTTCAAAACAAAGCCGCACACGGCCGGTGCACGAGCATGCAGCTGGTTATGCAGCGGCGAAGCTAACAGCTAACGTCGACCTGCGTTTCACATAAAAAAAACGACAGCTACATTGTCATTTAATTGACCAACCAACAGCTACTTAAAACAAGCTGTAACAACACAAGCAAATCCGCTATCACGTACAAAATAAAAATGCACGTTGAGGCTTTCGAAAAAATATGGTACATAAACGCTTAAATATAGTATGTCGCTGAATGGCTGACGATAGAAAACAGCGCACTCCACTGAGGACGGAAATACGTCACAGTCCGTTGACCATTTCCGGCAGAGGTCATGGATGAACATTTAGAAGAACATTAAACACTTAAAAACTTTTATTTAAATGAGAAATGTAAGCGCACTTATTTAGTTATCGTTTCTGTGGAATCAGTTTGTAGCCAGTATGAATAGAGAACATGATTTACTATAACTGATGAATACTTTATTGATCTCCAAGGAGAAATTAAGAGAGGTAAAACATGGATGCGGTCCCCAAGAGATACAAATCTTCAACACTAATAACAGGAACTGAAACATTTCTACATTGCCTAGAAAAATGCACATAATACCAGCTATAGTACTTGGTTATAACTTCCAGATTGCAGTTAAACGTTGCATTTTATACGTATAACACTAGAGGGAGACATATACAAACACATATCCACTAAGGAAAATTAACCATATAAGAGGCATGAAATGTATTAATGCCTCTTAGAATAACGAACATTATAATAATAACAACAATAGCAAAAAGGATACCTTAACAGGTTTAACATTATAGGTTAGCAATGACAATGTTTTGTATTCCTGTAATGCTACATTTCAAACATGAATACTAAAAGACAATACATTTGAAGTAAGCAAACTTAAAACATTTGCATCCATAAAACAAAAATTTAGTTTAAGGTTAAGTCTTATAGTATAATTATCTGAGTTATGTTTTTTGTGTTAATCAGAATAAAAAGATAGAACAGGTAGAGCAGTAGGAGGTAAACTGCCACTGACTTTATGTTACCCTTGAGGCCTGATACACATAAGCGTATTTTCGTCTTAAGATCACACGTATATTTGTGTTAATTTTGACTAGAACCACTTAAAAAGAATCGTTAAAGCGGATTAATCAAGCTGGTCCTGTTTAATGTCTCCCGTTAATTAGTTTGTCAGCAGTGTTTTAATATCGCCTAATGACTTCATATTTCACTGATGACATTGAAGGGGTGTTAAAAGAGGGGAAATGGTCCATTCAGGATTCAGTTTTTTTGCTTAAGTCGCCCTCAATGAATAAGGCAAGGTCATGGAGGCCTAGCCATTAGGGAGATATAGATTATCAAGGGAAGAGGGGGGGTTGGAGAAATCCCATAGAGGAACCTCTCTCCCCTTTAAAACAGCATGACGGGCACAATGTGATACAGTTCTTTCTTAGAACAATACTCTGCACAGGGGATTCATGATACAGCTTAGGGCAGCCACACTGTATAGGATGGCAAGATTGCCCCACCGTCTACAATAATACCAATGCTGGGGACTAAGGCTGGTGTTTTTGATGTGATGGATCAAGTCTATCATCATTAATTTTTCTGGTGTTTTAGTATCAAGCATAGTTTTCAAATGTTGACGAAACAATTGGAAAAGTATATGAGAGTAAAACAACTATTGATTGATCAAATATATTCAAACGCAAAGAAAGTTAGCCCCATTTGATCTTAATCAGCATTTTCTGTAGCTTTCTAAGCAAGAACAAAGAAATCAGAAATCGTAAAGATGCAGCTCACAATATTGAGGACACGGCATTTTCTCTGTGATGAAAATCCTATGTTAAACAAAATGCTCAATGGAGGCTAATGGATCCCAAACAAGTCCATGCACTGCTTCTAAAATGCTTTGTTTGACAAATCAATTTTCCCATAACCCGGTGAGGAGAAAAGTGATGCGGATTGATCGCCCCCCTTGACTTTGTTTCTAGAATATTGTTTGATGGCTGGATAGATTAATTGGTATGACATTTGAAAGCCTCCTCTTGACTGTCAGCAGCCAAGCCTCTGTACGCCAATCGAATGCCGGTCTAATTGTCTCCTATGTAATACCTCAATTCACAAATTAGGGACGGTGCCTCAATAAACTATTCCCAATATAAAAACCAACAAAATCACACTGCTTGATCAGATATGGGTTTGAAGTGGGATAATGCTGAGCTGATGAGACAGAGTGCATTAAAGGGCATCATCCAAAGTGCTGTGCCAGCACATCCGCCTGTCAGCAAAGTTGTTCTGAAATACACAAATCAGTTACCAGCATCTGTTCGAGTCAACAGCACTTGGAGTCATCAATTTATCATAGTTCATTCATGTATGAATCTTTGTTCAAAACCTGATTGAAATCAGGGCAATTGCAGTAACAATGCAAAGAATGATTAATCTAAATAAATGCCCTGATTGGTCATATGTCTGCTGTAAGGATGAATATTGTTTTGACATGTAACTTGTTGATAACTCAAGTATGTTTTGACTCACCTCCGGTGGAACTCTTTTGATTAACATTAGGCTGAAGTGTTTAGTGGGAATCAATCATTTTGGGTTCAGACTTTACAACACAAATAAAAAAAAAGAAGAAGATGTTAAGAGGAGCAAACAACATTCACAATGAAATGTGGAGTCAGATTTGAGTAACCTCTGAAACTAGAGACATTCATTTCCGCAGTTTCTAGTTTGATAAAGTAAATATCTGATAAGTTATTGTATTTGTGGAGATGTTTTAAAATATGACACACAAATCCGTGCCCACAATTAAAAAATCTAAGTTTCTCTACAAATAATATGTGTGTCTTCTGTGTGTATGTCTACACTGTGGGTCACTGTAGAAAAATACAATTTTATTGTGTTTGTAAGCATTAAAATAAATTTCAGATTCTTTTGATGTGGGTGAACATGATAAGGAACAATATCGGAATTAGATTAACTATGATGTCAAGGAACATGACCGGAGAGTAAAAGTCTTACCTGAATAACAACTGCTTCAGAAATCAGAAAGACTCTCAGTCATGATTTTGGAGGCTCAATGGCATTGCTAAGGATAAACACAAGGTATCAGGACGTTTCAGTATCACAGTGTGAATGTGATTCATATCTTAACTGATCGACTCAAATAAAGTCCAGAATGTTTGGGACATTTATGTTAATTGCTGACTGGAACTCTACTAAGTAGAGGAACTCTTTTGATTAACATTAGGCTGAAGTGTTTAGTGGGAATCTACTAAGTAGAGCTCCACTTGAAGTCACCTGAATGAAAAGAAGTTTGAAAGAAAAACTTCTGTGTTGTGAACTTGAATAAAAGAATCTCCTGTAGTTGGAAGGGCTTTAATCTGTTCGGGAGGTGGTTACTTGCTTCTCAGAGCAGGCTGAATTGGTATCAGTAATAGCAATCCTGTGTACTTTTCCCCAGATAAAATCTGAAATTGACTGAAAAGAAATCTGCAGTGTTTCTTAGGGGACCAACACTGGACTGTCTGGGATTTACATTATGTGGGATGTTTGGATAAAATGCCTCAGTGATTGCAGAGGTTTTTGTGTTAAAAACTTTGTGGGTGTTATTGCTGGTGATCTCATGTAGCAATTATCCTGTACGTGGATGGTTCCTTTGAGGCATTTTGAAAAGAAATCAGACAAACTAAGTTAAAGTTGAACTAGAAAAAGTACAATGAAATGAAGCTCATTCAATACAAATGTATTCATACAATGGTCATCTAGAGGATGTAACCCAACACAGTAGACCAACATATAGAATTGGATCGAGTGTTTCCCATTCAGTTTCCCATTCTGAGCATGGACAAGCTGGTGTCTGACAGAGGAGAGCCTAAACTCCCTTTTAGCAGGATGTGACCTCAAAATGAACCACACCACAAACCAAAAAAAATAAAAAATCAGATGCCATTCCACTCAAATCCGAACTCAGTTCATATTTGTTTTTCTGTCCCACAGAGCTGGCTCCTGACCCAGCCCAAGCTCTCATAAAAGAGGAATAAAAACTTCCTGGGGAAGAAACCCTGACCGCAATTCAGACAAAATATTTATCAAATGATATCTGGAACTATTAGAAGACAGTGATTAAACTATGTCAACTTTCCACTTTCAAGTGCTTCTCTCAACTCTTTAAAGTAGACAGAAACATAGTTAATTGTCTCACAAAATTAGAGTGTCAGTTTTGGAGAACATTATGTCTTCGGAGCAGTTAAAACTGTGGCTCCTAAATCTTTTCAGCTGCTTCATGTTGGCAGCATACAGCCTGTAAAGCTTCAGATTCATAACTATTTAAACCTGTTGAAAGACATCTTTTAGCAGAATTCATTTCCAGGAACACATGAATTTTGAAAAACATCTTCATGTGAAACCATATTATCACTCTTTAAAGTGACAGCCCAACAACGGGAACATATATTTCGTAATGTAATGTTTATTCTCAATTGAAACATTAAACGAATTTGAAACAGGGCTTGTCAGTACAGAAGTTGCCCAAACCGTCGCACTCTCGTTTCACCAGAGACACTTTCCAGATGGACAATTAACGTCTTTATGTCCTGGTGAAAGATGCCCTTAGAGTACATGTCCACTGCTGAGTCCACCAGCTGCTTCATAACCATCTAACAAACACAGACAGAGAGAAAACCAGTATAAGACATCTTTTCCTTTCCTTGGTTCTCTTCTGATTCATTCTTTAAAATTTAGTTGAGCAAACAGGTGTGATGTCACTAATAGGCATCTTTATTCTGGTTTCTGAATTTACTTCCTGATCTTGAATCCTCATGCTTCTAAAGACGGTGCACACAAAATGTATCATACCTTTGCTTCTTTTTGCTCCATGGCTCCTTTACTTTTTTTTCTTTTTCTCATCCTTGTGTGACATGTCCTTCAAAATGTTTTGAAGACTCGAGCCTCTTCATTACATTTCCCATACCTTTCCCTGAGCCACTGAATTCAGCTGTTCTGGTGCAGCTGATTGTGTTCTCTCCACTTATGGCCTCTCCATTCTCCGTCTTTACAGAATCATCCTCCACTTTCATTGCTGGGGGTACCATTTGTTCACAATGCAGACAACGATATGAACTGTGATGTATGCACAGTTTGATAAACAATTGTTACTAGCCTTAGTCGAAATGGGCTCGCTCACATTCTGCACAGCCCAGTGCCCATGGGCTCTGCTGAACCTCTGCCGCAGCCTCTTATGTTTTGATAATTTTCTTGTTTAAAAAATGAA